GCAAATATTTGACAATATGATAAGGTCCTATATAAAATGAAAATATCAAAATTCAAATGCAAATGTTTTTTAAAATCACAAACTCTGTTTGTAAACTCCTGTTTAATTTGTTGAAACCTTTTCAACTTATTTTTTAGTGTAGTAAACTGAGATAGACTGCGTCATATCTTGATTCAATTTCTTCTTGTTAAATGAATAATCAATTTCGCAAACTTGCATGCATTTGATAAGCACGTTCATTTCAAAAGAATGAACAGGATAATGTATTGGAAGAGCACCATTTGATCCTCATGATTACTAGCTGACATCTCCTTTGGCTTCAGGTGTGGGTTGGCCAGCTTCCTGACTATTGTTTAGCAGTAGGAAACCAGTCGGTCAGCTGCAGCCATCCTTGCAAGAGTTTCTAGCACTAGAAATGCTTGTCACCAGATTGGTTCAGATAAAGTAGGCCCTTTGGTCCATCTGATCTCATCCTTCCAGAACACCCACCTTACCATCCTCCCACATCACCATCAAGCTGTTTATGAAGTTGTTTTATTAAGCTGTCAACAGATTGTGAGAACATTTCCAGTTGAACAGACACCTTCCTCAAGGTGGATTGCGTCATATCTTGATTAAATTTATTGTTGATAAATGAATAATTAATTTAGCAAATGTGTGCGCATTTAATAAGGATACATGTTTCAAAAGACAGCTTCCTGCACACATGCATATGTTCATTCCCACTAGAAGTCGAGAGTATAATTCTCCGTCCACTGCGTTCTAAGTTAATTTGCATACTCGCCAGCCACCTTTTAATGGGATACAAAGTAGTCCAGAGGTTCAATTATTTGAAATGATTGCATTTTTTTTTATTTTGCCTCATAAAAAAGTAGGATAAAGTCTGTGAGGATTTGGTTTGAGACACTAATAGACTGTTTAACTATAATAAGCTATTATAAACAAACAGATTGGTAGGAGAATCACTTGGTGGGAGAATCACTTGGCCCTCATGGACTGTGTGATCAGAAAAAAATATCATGAGACTTTTTGGGAAGCAGGTACTGTGACTGCTTTCGCTCAACCTTTTTGTGCTTGAATGTTGCTCTCCCATTCTCTGACTCTTTCCTTCTCTCATTATTAACTCCCAGAGTCATGGATGTGCCAGAACCTCTGCTATCAGACCCATGAATCTGCTGCGTTAAGAATCCTCAAATAGACTCAGTATTTTGAAAGCAAAGTTAGTTAAGTATTTGCACAAATTGAGTTAAGTTGCCACTGCTTACCTCAAGAAAAAATTGAGCAAATATTTAACTGTGTGCCAAACTCCACATTACAGTAAAATCCTGTGAAGCACTCAACCTCCTTACATGAAAAGCCCTATACCAAATGTCAAGATTATTATTATTGTTATTAATAATCCTGTTTTCTCTCTAAGCAGTGTTTAGTACTGAAGATTTCTGTCTTTATTTAAGCTGTTGTGGGGAACTACATCATGGAAAGAAACTCATGTTTTTGATCTTACACTTGGGATTTCATCAATCGAGTGGTTCAGTGAATTCATCAACACCATCTCCATTTTGTCGCACTTACGGCTTCTCCTCCAGACCCCGCACCATCATGTGTGGCATCCCTCATGGCTCTGTCCTTGGCCTCCCCTTTTCAATATCTATATGTACCCCCTTGGTGACATCATCCGCAGATATGGGTCAACTTCCACATGTATGCGAGTAACGCCCAACTCTACCTCTCTGCCTCCACCTTTGATTCGAAGACCCCTGCTGTCCTCACAGACTTCCTGTCGGACATCAAGTCCTGGATGAGAGTTAACGTCTTGCAATTGAATGTCAACAAGACCGAGACCCTCCTTATTGGCTCCTGTCAGCGCCTCCATACCTCGGGCACTGACAGCATCTTCCTCCATGAATGAACTCTGCATCTCACAGAGCCAATACGGAACCTCAGCGTCCTGATCAACCCTCAACTGTCCTTCATGCCTCACATCTGTACCATGACCTGCTCCACCTTTCCCCATCTCCGCACCATCACTCGGTTCCACCACTGACTCACACGGCAAGCCGCCGAGACCCTCATACACGCATTCATAACATCCAGGCTCAATTACGCAAACTCCCTGCTTGTCGGCCTCCCCAACTCCTCCCTCCATAGGCTGCAGATCATCCAGAACTCTGCAGTCCATGTTCTCTCCCAGCACCAGGCTCCGCGACCCTATCGTCCCCATCCTCGCCCAATTCCACTGGCTTCTCATCACACAAAGGATACAGTTGAAGATCCTGGTCCTCACTTTCAAAGCCCTCCATGGCCTTCGTCCCCTCTACCTCTGTGACCTCCTAACGCCATACAAACCTGCTCACTCCCTCCGCCTCACCCCCTCCCTTGCCTCCTTCAAGACCCATCTCAAGACCCTCCTCTTCGACCGTGCCTTCGGGCACCCTCCTTACTCTCCTGTCCCCACCCTCCCCGATCCCAACCCCCAGCTTGGGTCCGAAACACTGATTGGCCAGCACCTTTGGATGTCTTCCCAAAGTGAAAGGTGCTATACAAATGTAATTTTGTTGTTGTTGTTGTTGTCATTGTCATTTTACAATAATCCTTGCATTTCACATCAGTAGGACTTTTCAAAGCCCTTCGTGGGATTTACTGTAAAGTGTAGTGACTACATATTTTGTAAGCTAACTTGGCAGCCAATTTGTACATAGCAATCTTCCTCAAATAGCGGGTGACTAACCAATTTTATTTAGAGGGTTGTTGGCCACGAAACTGGGTAAAACTCTCTTCTCTTTTTGAGTAATTCAATCAAATGCAAGGATTATTATTATTATCCTCCATTGGGGGTGGGGGTGTGAGGGGGTGGGGGGAGCTAAGTAGAGTCTCCTTGGAGCTGAACTGGCTCCAAGGTGACGTGCCTGGCTACGTAATGTTGGAATCGAGCCAGCCCTCTGTGGCCGTCTTGATAGTCCGGTTGGGTCTGCAGTATTCCAAGACACTGCTGATGACAGCACAGGATCTGAAAGGACAGACCAGTCACTAGGGTCAGGGAGTAATCTTCTTTAGGGGCTCCTGTTAACCCTGCAAGCCAAAGGCCTAATGGGTTGGATGGTCCTGGATAGACAAGCAGCAGGAAAGCTTGCCAGACAGCAATATCAATGGCAAGTTATGTACTTTTAGCTGGTTAAGACTCCAGCAGTACCCCAACACACACTCTGGGTTCCCCAAGCCTTGGCTCTTGCCAGCCTGTGCCTAATACCTTCTGGATTTAGGTAAACAGGATGCATCCTTCCAGAGAGAGTGTGCAATCCATTCCAAGAATCTATCTCTGGGATTTCCATGTATAGGTGGGATGCATGGAAATTTCAGCTTGGTTTGGATACTCTTAACTATGGTGATGGGTTTCAGCATGTGTCAGATACCCGACTGACCAAAAAAAGTTGAATAGACAATGCAGGACTCCTGTTTAATGTTTCACCAGAAAGATGGCATCTTCAGCAATGCAGCACACACCCAGCACCACAGTGAAACGTCAGCCTTGACTATATGAATTCCAAATCCCGACATGGGTCTTGAATTCACAATCTTCTGACTCAGAGGTGAGAGTGCTACCAACTGAACCCATTATGGCACACTATTACACACCAGTTGGTGATAAACCATTGCCATCTTCATGATCTCCATCGATATTAAAATAAACTTTACCCAGTAAAGTTCTGGGTAAAAGCATTAGAAACTAGGGACGTAACATTGCAGGCTGTCACCTCTTTTGCTGATAAGTTCCAGGGAGTTTTAACTCAACTTTTAATGTTCTGCCTCACAGTAAACAGTCACCGGATCAAAAGGAGAAAACAACACAAGCATGATGGGGGCAGAACCAGAGAGGAGACAAGGAGAACTATGGGGTAAAAGCAGGTGAGTGGGACTAACTAGCTCTTTCAAAGAGCCGGCACAGGCATGATGAACCGAATGGCTTCGTTCTGTGGTGTAAGATTCTATGATTCTATGAATAGCAAATACAAATTCTTCAACTTGCCCAGTACGTGCTTTTTAATTAAGCATCCTTCTGATTACTCAAATAGATTCTTAAAAGTAGTTCCTCTTGTACTTCACAGCAGGAGGTATGCAATAGTTCATGAAACCTATCCACGGATTAGCACATTTTACTGATTAAAATTCTCAGTTATCTTGGAATGGAACCTATAAAATAGACCACTGTGTTTATTTTTTGTCTCTCTTCACCAATAGATTGATGCACACTACAGTGGTATCATTACTGTGGAATCTCACACAAAGAGAAGAAGAACTTTTCCCACCAAGATGCTGCTTTGCTTTAGTTTAAATGAAGTTTTTGCTTTTCTTTAAAAGCAAACGTTGCCCTGAAATCCTAGGCAAATGCTGTGCTCTTATATTCTTTAGTACTTCACTAATTATTTCTGTCAAACAAACTAAAAAGGAATAGATGGCTGATTGCAGTTTAAAATAGGAATGTAATAAATAATAATATGCTTTTCTCCTGAATTCTATCATATCTCCAGGTAATACAATGTGGTCAATGTCTCTTCCTGTACTGATGTCTTTCCATCAGCCTGGTTAATCTGTTTTCATTCTTTCAAATTGAACCAGCTTGGCAACCGACATTTCGTGAAGATCTTTCTGTCTCTCCAACATTGACCATAGCAGATTTCATACTAGTGACAGTGTAAATCGAGATGACAAGCGCTCCGAGACGCCATGCGGCCTGAAAGGCACTGTACAAATGCAAGTTGCTGTTGCAAATAAAGAAAAATCCCCAGAGCTCTACCTTCCCATTCAAGTTACATTAGGAAGACAATACAACTCAATATTATTAAATAACGGTTCAGAATTATGTGAACCATTGCACTGTAAAATGGAGTCTACTGCATTGATTTGACACCTTGTGTATTCTTCGCAATGATTTGTTACATCTAATGCACCAAACATCATATTAATTTGTCACAGTCTCCTCGTAAGTTGAAAGCAGTTTTTACCTTTGCTGATGTTTCAAACCAGCCCACAAATCCATGCTCCTTGCAGAACTGATCCAATTTGCCGGAGTTGGTGGCTGTGGACTCAATCCCTTGGTCACACTTGTTTGCCAGGAGGACGACAGAGACAGGTTTCCCATTGGGTAGAGTCAGTTTAGAGTCTAAATCATCTTTCCACTTTGACACTGCGTCAAATGTGGTGGATCGAGTAACATCAAAAACAATAAATGCTCCAATGGCCTCTCTGTAATAGACTCTTGTCATATTCCCAAATCGTTCTTGACCTTAAATAAAAAAAACACAAAAAAAGCACCCATAATTAACTTGAATTAGAGCCAAGCCGGTTAGATCAGAGAACATTTTTTCACATAAAGGGTTAAAATATAAGAGATATTGCCACAAAATATTGCCACACTGATTGTAATGTTTAAAAGGGACACAGATATTTGGGGAGTAAAGGTAATAAAGTAAACAGAGCAGAGGCAGAGAAATGAGTTTCAGATGTTAAACTGTTCAGATGAGTTAGATGTTAAACTGAATTCTGCCTGTTCAGGTGGAGCCTAAAGATCCCATGGCAGTACAATAAAACTCACATAAGTCGTATCAGTCAGGACCATAACATTTAATTTGACTTATGTGCAGTCCAAGTTACAGGCAAACTGCATAAATCGTATAAAATCCAATGTAATTAATAATCTACACTGCGCATGTGTAATTCAATGCAGCCAGTAACTGCATATGCGCTGACGGATCAAAACTACAATTCAATACATCTTGACCGATTGTCACATGAGCATTTACTGGCAAGTATTAGAATGGTATTGAATCACGGGAAATTAAGTTCTTCTGCGCATGGGGTGATGGATCAAGACTATGTTTCCTGTAATTCAATGCAGCCGGCTGGTAAGTGCACATGAATCAATGGGTCAGGATGTCATTTCTTGCGATTCACTGCAGCCGGTAAGTGTGGGAGCATTGGAGGGTAGAGGAGTAGCTTTATGAATTAGGGGGTGATTAATACGAGTCGTGCAAAGAGATCCAAGTGATTTTGATAGGAAGCTGAGTGGGACTCGGGTGCATGTACGATTTAGGTGATTATACAATTTATAAAGATTATGCAAGTTTTCTTGTATTCAAAAACAGAAAGGAGTTTCTCCGAATGTCCTGACCAACAATCCCCAACAATCCCCCATTTGCCCACAAACACACAGTCACTCCATTTTACAGTATACCCCGTGCAGCGCTTGGGGTCGTGCTCCTGACATGAAAGGCATTATACCAAAGGTATATATTATTATTTTTGTTATTATAACAATGACAATTGGTCATTTACTTAATGAATGTTTCTGCAACATATCTGTATGATAATTCGCTGCCAAGTTCACCCACAAAATACCTATCACTACACTTTACAATATATCCTGTGAAACGCTATGAGATGTGCACCGGATGTGAAAAGCTGCTGTATCAAATGCAAATTATTATTAAAGATCTGGCCATTTTTTAGTAAAATCAGAAAATGAGGAAATAGGCTGTGCAGGCTGGATGGCCTGCTCCTATTCCTCGGGGTGAAATTAGTGGTATTTCATAACCCATTTGATAATATAGGTCAGGTTATGTGAAATGCCTCTAATTTCATCCTTATATTAAGATGCTTCAGAATTGTGGAAAATTATTAAAAATCCAATATTAATTTGGAAGCCAGTTTGTTTTAAGAAATGCGAAAAACTTCAGAAAACTTCAGAATTAACACAGAATTTAGGAACCTTCCCCAATTCTGCACCATCTCAAATTGTAAGACAACGTATTTATGGAGTCTAAGACAAGGTGAAACTTTGGGCTTACTGTTCTTCAATCCTCATCTGGAAGCTCTTGATATAAATTGTTTTCAGTTCCAAATGACTGTGGAATAAATTTGCATTATTTTTCATTTTTATGCATTCATAGAATGTATCGACATTATTCAGAGTTTTATTGCTATTTGCACACGCTTCCATTTTTCAACCCTTTCATGGGCACAAGGTGCAGCCTTGTGTGGCTGTAACTACACATGTGACAGAACGAAAGAGATGGAATGTAAGGCATGCAATCTCAGGCTCAGAGAAACCTCTGAAGATTTCTAACATAACTGATGTACTGCTACTGTACCATGGTGACCCAATTAAAAAGAATCAGCTGTACAACGCTTCTCTCCAACCCCTCTCCTCCATCACTCCCATATATTACAGAATGAGACAATTCCGAGGCTACCCTTATCGACTCCTGTTAGCGCCTTCTCACCTGAGCCAACAAATGTATCAACTTCCCCGGGTTGCTCGCTCAAGCCTGTGGAGCATGTATTACTCCTTTATTCCTTTCACCCAATCTCTGACCAAAGCCGCTTTTCTCCATCTCTGTAACATCACCCACCTCTGCCACTATCTCACTCCTACAAACCCGAACCTCCTCATTCACACCTTTGTCACCTCCAAACATGGCTTCTCCAGTGCTCTGCTCACTGGCCTCCCCAACTCCACTCTCCACCAGCTCCTAATTATCTAGAACTCTGCAGAATGCATTCTCTCCTTGAGCCTATCAACCTTTCTTTACTTGGCTACATTAGCACCCATTCGATCAATTTTTAAGATTCTTTAAGAACATTACCTTCAAATGCCCCCATAACTTTGCCCCATCCTACCCCTGCAGTCTCCTGGGCATGCAGAATATGGTGTGAGTGAAGTTTGTGTGAGTAGAGTGACTGATACAGGCAAGGTTTCCTTTATTATACATTCTATAACCTGTATTTTAATGTGAATATAACACAATAGTTTTCAATCAAAAATTATGGGGACAAAATTGCTGTATTGCTGAACAAATGCTGTAGCGACTGCAAATGTGCTCAGGTCTGAAACAGACTATCCAATCGTGAAGATGGAAGCCAGGGGGTGGGGGAAGAATGGTCTGTCATCAAAGACAAGTTTGAAAGGAAATGATTTTAAGTGCAATTGATCATTCATTATTCAACAGTACATCAATTTTGCCCGCATCATTTTTGATTGAAAACATGCAATTATTTTCGCATTCAGCTACACGTTATAGAATTTACAACAAAGCAGTCCTTGGCTGTATCAGTAAATTATGTGATATGCTGGGACACCCTGCCGACATGAAAGGTGCAATATGAAACGCAAGGCTTATAAACAGTATTGTGATCATTATCATTAGTGGTAATAATTAAGAAACTGTTTGAGTTGGGGAATAATGTAGTTTGACCCTTAGAGCTTTGTGTGTTTATTGTAATGTAAAATATCTTAATCGACCCAGTGTCTTGGTAGTGTAACACTATGATATACACGCCTGTACTTGGTAGTCTTTGGCATTGTCTGAGACACTGCTACACCGGGTGTGACAAATGCTGGGTGAATCCCCAAAACTGCCTCTTACAGTTACTGAGCAGCAGGTTCAAAATTCTGGAATGAGCAGGGTGGCTCGAGCTGCTTAGATGGCAGGTCTCCTAGCAATGGACCTGTGGTTACTGGAAATTTGCCGGGTATATCCAGCTTCTTATGCATGCTTCTAAAATAATAATCCTCATCTTTGGGAATGTCTTTCACATCAGGGGGATGTTTAAAGTATTTTACAGGATACACTGTATATTGGGTGACTGATTTTTTGGTAGGCAAATACAATAGCCAATTGTGCACAGCAATGTCCCACAAACTGCCATGGAGTGAATGATTAATTTTATTTTTTATTTTATTTATTTATTTTGTTGCCTTGGACACTGGGAAAAACTCCCTTCTTTTTTCCACATAGTGCCAAGGGACCTTCAAATCCACCTGAACAGGAAGAAGGGAACGCACTTTAACATCTCATTTGAAGGATGAGCACTGCATTAGTTCCAATATGGGGCTTGGACCCTCAATCTTCTGACTCTGACTGAGCTGGGCTGACACAGCAGTGATAATTGTCACATCCCACATCTCATTTTGCACCTTTATGATTCAACATTCGTGAGCTGTTTTTCTAGCACCGTCACAGAATCTTCTGTCATTTATGAAATACAACGCAAAGGAAAAAAAAAGTTGCAACATTCGACCAGATGTCTATAGTGACAACTTACCACTTTATAGAGGCAAAGCTTACAGCCATGTACAAAATCCTTCTCTGCTGGTTTATCAGAGATAATTCCAGCAGCATTTCTCTGCCAGAGAGCCCAATTGAACACCAGACATTTCAAACACTGAATTTATTTCAAATTTCTCTAAGAAAACTCTTAAAGTACTCAATTGGATTTTTATTAAATATTATAATCAATAAAAAATGCCATTTTGCTAGCATTTCCTAGTGCGATTACTATTGATCTACTGATAAACGATGTTGCTGCTATAGCATTTATCAAGCTGATACAGCTTCATTTATATTCCAATATATTCCACCCAAGCTGAATTAAATACAGCAGGATTACATGATACACAATAGGGAATGTGGTACAACTTCTCTTTCTGGCTACCATTATTTTCAGAAACAAAAGCTATTTTGGAACAGTAGTGTTTTTCAAAATTAAAAGCAATTGCACCAATGAGGATAAGAGAATAATAATGATTTGGGACATTCTGTCTTCATGAGGTTAGGCTTCATTCAGAGTGATCTCCAGGTGTGTGTGTGTGTGTGAGAGAGATGGAAATGCAGCATGCCCCATGCTCTTTCACATGCTTGTGAGCAGTACAATAAAGGAAAAGTATCATTGGAAACGAAAACGCATCAGAAATACAACAATAACTTAAATTTATATAGCGCCTTTCACACCGGACGGCATCTCGGAACGCTTGAATCCTATCATAGAGTATCTGAACACAGAAACAGATCATTTGCACCAACAAGTCTATACTCATGTTTTTCATGAGCCTCTGAATCTAATCCCACTTTCCTGCATGATCCTCATCACCCTTTAGTCCCCTTTTTCAATCATCTGTCTGCTTCCCTTTTAAAATAAAATAGTCCAGTTTCTGAGCCGGGTGGGTCACAGTATTCCGGGGAGCTGCTTATAACAGCACAGCCAACTGCACTCATTGGCAGGATTGGGAAGGACAGACCAGTCACTTGGGTCAGGGACGCTTAACGCTCAGCTCCCGAAGCACTAACAGATAGGGCAAGCTGGACAAGCAGCAGGAAAACTTGGCAGGCAGTGCTCTCAATGCAAGCTATGCAGTTTAGCTGGTTAAACTCCAGTCTGACACCAAGCCAGGGGGAGAGGGAGAAAAGAGGTGACTGTAAGCACAATCAAAAAGGAAGGTCTTTAGAC